TGTTCTTCAGCTTCTTTTCTTTCATCTGTTCTAGCTTGCTTGCATCTGAACTTAGCATGCTAATATTATTTTCCAACCTGATCTTCCATTTTGATGATGCACTGTTGCTGTTGTTGTTGTTAAAATGACATTGCCTTCTTCTAGGACATCTCTTTTTTACTTCCCAGAATAGCCTATAGCTCTGGCATTCCCATCCAAGCAAAGACCCTGTCTGATCCTGCTTAGCTTCTGAGTTCACTTAAGGAGGGTGGCAAATCCAAGAGATGTCCTTCCAAAAAAGATTCTGGGTCTGGTGGCTACCCAGCTGGCTTTAGGGGGCCTGGGGACTGAAGGTATTACCTCAACAATAACTGGATCAAATCAGGAGAGCTGCATGGGAGATGTTGAATTTCCACTTCTGGGGGAGGTACGGTGAACTGAAGACAGTTCTGTGAAAGCGGAACCAATGACCGCAGCAAAGACCAAAGAACTGGTGAATAGACCAGTTCCTTGGAACCTCTCTGGATAAGGAGGACAGGAGATTGCTCACATCTGCTCTGGACAGCTGCTCCTCATGAGCAAACCACAGGACAGTGGTTTTCCAGACGTTTGAGTACCGGGAGACGACAGGATCAGCCATCTTGCTCGCAACAATGGTGGAGCCTTTTAACGGACACTAAGTTTGCAAACCTCAGTTTCTAATCACTTTCAGAAATTACTTATTAACTATCTTAAAGCTATTAGAGACCTTTGGAATGACAAGTTGGTGTCAGGTGAGTTTATCTTCAACTCTGAACAAAAGAAAAATTAATTACAAGCTTAAGAACTTAAATAATTTGAAATAAACAACAAAAGCTAAATACAATATTGATATAAGAAAGTTTTAAATGGATTAAGAGTCCAGATACATTTGGAATATTCACTTTTATTATATGATTTTGGATTTAGCTATAAAAAATAAACAACTTCTTATGGGAAACATACTTATTTTGGCTATCCTGGTTATTGCAAGTCATAACAAAAGATAAGTGATTTTAGAAACTGGACAGTAGAGGGGACTAAAGATTTTAAGCAGAAGGAAAAAAAAATACAAGCCTGTTCTTGTTGTCAGTTAATACTGGGACTTACAAAATGACACAAAACATTATAGCATTGGAAATATTAAAGGAGATTGTTGAAGAATGGAGCCAGAAGTTAGTAACTACAGTATCAACACTGTCAGTAATGATGTCTGCTTCTATGGATAGACTGTGTCTAAAAGGTGTTAATGAAGGAATGACAGATATGGAACAAATTTTATGTGACAAGATAGATAAAGTAGAGAATGTGGAACTACAAATGACAGGCCAAGAGAATGATTTGGAAAAGGACGTTTTATTGAATATACAAAAAAAAACTGGCTGAAGTTTTAAAACTTAAAAGGGAAATATAGATGATAAACCAAGAGAATGATCGGGAAAATGTTTTCTTATTGGATGTACAAAAGAGGCATGTTAAACTCGTGAAGAAATCTGTTTATGGGATAAAGAAGAATTGAAGAGAAACAAAATCCTATGACAATATTTGAATGAATTAAACAGTAAGCCTGTTAGAAGTAAAAGGAAGGAATATAAAATTGGTTTATTTGATTAAGGTGAAAATAAGACTTTTTTTTTTTTTTGCAGAGTTCTGGCAACCCTTTATGGACTTTTTGCTGGATTGAAAAGTGGATGTTTTATGGATTTGCTTATAGATAAAGGATGGGATATGGGATGAAGAGATATCTCTTTAACCTTATGGGAGTGAAGAGTTATTAAATTTGTTTATACTTGTTGTGATGAAGGTTGGAAGTCACTTCTTTATATACTTCTTTTCTTCATCATATTCTTTCTTTTTTTCTTTTTCTTTTTTCCTGCATTTTTTCCCATTCTCTTCTCTCTAAGTTTAGTTTGCATTAGTTTTTACTATTGTAATAAAAATTCTTAATAAAAATTATATTTACAAAAAAGGAAGATGTTGAATTTCCTTCCTTTATGAATAGCAGGGCTGTACAGAGTAGACTGAGAAGTCAGTATAACATCTTGGAATTAGACAGTGGCCAATCACTTCCTACTGTTGCTAAGAAAACAACATGGAAGCATCCATGAGGTCACCAGGAGTAATGCTCATCTTGAAGGAGACCTTAAGTGCAACTCTGCTAAAATAGACATTACAGAGCAAAAACGTGGCTCCTATTCTCAGCCTAGCTGCTAGTCACTGCATTTTGCATTTCCTGCAATTTCCAGAAGGCCTTTGACACTTGACCCATACAAGTGTGCTCTAAAGAGAGCAAAGTCTACCTTTGTTAGGTGTGGCAAACCAGGCCAAACTAGAAAAAGAAGTTGCTTGTAACTGACACCTCTGACAGGATAAATGGACCAAGGAGCAACACAAGTAGTAAACCTGATCTTCCAGAATGATGCAACTGCATTCCAAGTCAGGTACTGTAATCCACCTAGCACAAAACTTTGGTCTTATCAGCATTCCTTCTCTTTGTTGTGCCCTTTCTGTTCCCCGACATGGGCCATCTATTCAGAAGGGAACTGAATTCCGGCACATCTAGAAGGCAGCAAAGGGGGAATGGCAGCTCTGAAACCATCTTCTCTTCTCCTGTAATCCCCACTTCAGGACAGAAAGAGCAGCTGGAAATTCAGTGGCAATGAAATAGGACCCACTTCCGGTTGGTAGAGGGCTTTATTAGCTTCACACATATCTAATCAAAGCTAGCTTGGGAGTGGGGTGGTTGGGGCAACACAACCGTAGCCTTTGCTGGTTCAGCACCACCCTGTTTCCTCCTCATCCCCTTTGTGTGCTTTACAAGAACTATATAAGCTGTCTGCACTCAAAATGAATGTTCAGTATGGGGTTTGTCTTGGTCCAAATCTTCTAGACCTTTTTGTCAATTTTCTGTCAAAAAACATCAGTGAGGAAATTTCAACGTGACTAAAAATAAAACATTGAGGTTGAAAGAGATCTGTTAAGTAAAGACTTTCAGCATGTTGAAAATGAACTCAAAAATTGTACTTTGCACATTTTGTGCCCTTTGTCCCATGTATCTAGATATGTATCATCTCTGTAATTTTTCTGCTCTTTCAAATTCTTATTAAATGTATATTCAGCACTGGAGTTGGGTTTAGGTGACTGTAATGTTATGGTTTATATTTCTGTCAGGTTCTCCAGCGTGTTAGTGAAACAGAATAATTTTTAAATAAAGCAGCCAGTATTAATAAAGCACCCAAACAATACCTAAGCCTGAATACACTGCTGTGCACGCGTTTGAAACAGATTCTGAACTATGTTACAGCTGAATGAATGCTACAATTAATTTCACTCGGAGCGCAAAGGGGAAATCTGGCGTACGTCGTCCTCACCATATTTAGAACAGAAAATCATGTTCAGTCGCTGTAAGAAAAAAAAATTTCAGATCTCTAGCAATTGTTGATTCAGTGCACTTTCCAGAGACTTGGACCACTGCGTCCAGCTTACTCAGTTGTTTGATAACCGCACTCAACTTGTCTCGCGCTATCTATTTACCCGGAATCGTTCTCTCGCCTCTTGCTCGAGGCGTTCAAAGGGGGCGGTCTGTGGAGGCGGGGCCTCCAGAGGCCCCGCCCCAATGCATTCGTGCACTTCTGCCTCGTTTAGCCCAGCCCGGCCGGGTTGCGGATCGTGTGATTGACACGGACCAAAGTTATCCCGGAATAAAGGAAGCACGCATGTGCCATCACACCGGATGTGAACATGCTTACTTGCGCCCGCTTCCCAGCCTGCTTTACCCGGGAGCTCGCTTTGTGAAAAAAGCGAGAATCCGTGCCGAGCCGTGCCAACTTCTCCGATCCGTTCTGCGGCTTCTACAGCTGCGGAAACGGGAAGGGGAAAAGGCCGTCTTTCTCCCCCCTTCGCCTTCCCAATGAAGTAAAGCGTTAGGCTTCCCAGCACCAATAAATTGAACCAAGCCAAGCCCGTTCTAGCCCCAGAAGGGCTTCTCTGCGGGGGTCGAGCAATAGCCGCCTCGTCCGTCGCTCCATGGCTTTCCGCGCGCCTTCGTTCTCTGGGGCTTCGATTCTGCCCTTCGATTCTTAGCGGGGAGGTAGGCGCGGTGGAGGAACTGAGCGCCGAGCAAGCATGGATTTTCGAGGGAAGAAGTACGAGCGGGGCACCAACTGGTCAGACCCTGAGGTGGTGGAGCTTCTGCACCTGTGGGCTGACGAATCGGTGCAGGCGGAGCTGGAGAGCTGCCTGCGGAACCAGCACGTCTTCAACCGGATCGCCGAGGTGCTGCGCGAGAAGGGCATCCACCGCACCGGCGACCAGTGCCGGGAGAAGATCAAGAAAATGAAGCTGGAGTACCGCCGGCTCAAGGACAACAACAAGGCTCCGCGCCGGGGCCGGACGAGGAAGTTCTACGAGGTGACGGACCGCGTCCTGGCCAGCCGG